GTAAGGCTTCATGGTGGAGGTAGCCTTGGCTGGCACTTGAAGACCAGGAAAATGTGGGGGCAGGGAAACAGGGAAGGGAGGTCTGGGGGAACAGAAAGGCACTGGCCAATGTACCAACTCAGGACCAGGGGAGCAAGGCCAGAGTGGCGGGTGAAAGGGTAGAGGGCACTGTGGCAGCAACAGGGAACAAGGGCTGCCGCTTACCATGCACCTCCTTTCCCTGGGGCTCCTAGAGGCACGATGAGGAGCAAAGCTTCTCCTCTGTTCCTCCTCCACCGTCCTCACTCAGGGAAACCCTCTTTCTTGCATTGTCTTACATTGTTCCGGGCACTGAGCACTGTGGATAGGGGCACACACAAGAGGCCTTTCCTGCACTTGAATTCTGAAAGCTCGAGCATAGGTTGAGGGAGGTGTGGTTCCTTGGGAAACTTGCCCAAACACTGGGACTGAAAACCGGACAGGTCATTTGGGAGTGGGACTGGCGGTGGGGAAGGCTGAAGAGCCTTGAGTGGGGCTGGGGAAAGCCCGACAATGAGGTGCTGAAGGTGGAGGCCGAGCAGTGATGCAGCTCCTCCACTCCTCTCCTGGCCTTATTTATCCTCCCTTTCTAGCTAGCACCGAGATGGGAGTTCCTAAAGGAGGCCAGAGGAGCTCTAGACTGGGAGCCTAGAGAGACGGGGAGATGAACTCCCCCATGACACATGCCAGGGTCGGCAGCCCCTAGCCCTATGCTTGCCTAGTTGGAAAGATGGGCTCCCTCTTCCCCACAGCCCCACAGACAGGGCGGTCCTGCTGCCCTGAGACTGCAGGTGGCAGAGTAAAGCTCCTCCCCTCCAGCCCAGGGGACTGCAGCCCCAGAGAGAGGGAATGCCTGCCCTTTCCACAGTGCCTTTGCCTGTCTTCAAGCAATGCCACATGGTTCTCCACACTTGTGGGCACATTCTACAGAAGATTCTCAGACTAATGACTGAGCTGCTCAGTGCCTCAGTTTCCTCTGCTATAAAACGGGTCTGTGATGGCAGCTGAGAACAGGTAAAGTTTTTGCACTGATTGGCACGTGAGAAGCCCTCTATATGACTTTGCTAGCATTACATAGCTTTGTTCCCTTATGCAGGTCACTCCCTTTCTGAGTCCCACCTTCTTCATCTGTAAAAATGAAGGTGCTTGAGGTATTGGATGACCTCCCAGATGCCTGTCAGCTCTGACCTTGTAGAATTCTACATTTCCAAGGTAGGGAGAACAAAAGTGGTTTTCCTGGGAAAATTGATGAGGGGAACTGTGACCCCCAAAAGATTAACTGATCGAGCTGAAATTATAAAGCCACTTACTGGCAAAGATAGGGTTGAGATCTAAAGCTCCAAACTTGTACTTCCACGCCACGGGACTAGTTCAGTTGTGGCCTGTCACCTGATGATCATTCAGGGAAGATCAGAAGGTGTTTGGTTTGCACACTTAGGAAAAAGCATGAAATGAAGTTCCCAACAGCCTCTGGAGTAAGGGAGACTGGTACAGACCCATAATCCAGCGTAACCCAGCAGTGACCGTATGGGTACTCCCGTTTGCCTGCTGGTGTATCCATTTCTTCTTCCATGTGGCAGGCCCTGAACTTCCTTGCGAGGGCATACTGAAGCATCCCCACTGTTTGCTGGGACCCCAACAAAGCCCTGTTCATCAGCAGGTGCTTTGTACCCACCTCCCCACTCAGTGTGGCCTTGGCAGATAGAAAACAGGCTCAGACAGGCCTGAAAGACCTTGCCGAGCTGCTCCATGAACCTGGGCAGAAGAAGGTTCAGGACTGGAAGCCAGGTTTCTGGGCCCTGGTCTTGTACAGAAAAGAACCTCAAATGCCATGTTAGGTCTCCTGAGTGGGAGGAGGGTCTGCAACTTCAGACAAGGATCCCCAGGTAAGGAGTTAATGATAGCTGCTTAACACCCCTGGAGCGGTCTCCTGCGCTGCTGCCCCAGTGAAAGCAGCTGTGAGAGAGAATGTGGCCAGTTCAGTCTGTCTCTGAGGAGGCCTTACCTGTTGCCTACGTGACTGGAGATTTCTAATGACCAAGGCACACAGCATAGGGAAGCAAACCCCTGGCAGGAGCAGGGTAGCAAGAAACTGAGACTAGACCCAGGCTTGGGGCTTAACTCTCCAATTAGCAGTTCCACACTTAAGCAAGTGGGTTGACCTCCCAGAGCGTATTTCACCCTCTATAAGTTGGGCATATCGATGTCTGCTCTGTCTGTTTTTCACAGCTAGAGAAATGCTTAGTTGAGACAATAGTAGCTCTCACTGAGCTGGACTACGGGCCGGGTGCTGTGGCAAAAGCTTTACCTACATTCTGATGATGAGTCTTGACCACAGCTCCATAAAGCAGGTAGCAGAATACTGCCCAAGGAGGAGGCATGGGCTCATTTGAGTCAAAGTCCTGCTTCGAGATCACACAGATGAGTAAATGCATCAGGATTTGAATGCTCAGCTAACTCCAGACTTCCCCTTCTGCTGAAAACACTTGGCTAATGTATTAATAGAAGCTTGAACAGAGGGATACCACACCAGTTTATGAAGTTCCCTTGACTCTAGACTTGCGGCAGAATATAAGCCTTCCCTTCAGGCACCAGGCAAAGGTTCAAGGACTGAGTTGAATCACTTACTGATGCTTCATTTGAGACAGGGTTGGGAAACTATGACTTTCCACCTTTTTTCATAAAGTTTTGTTGGAACGCAGCCATGCCCACTGTCTATGATGCTTCTGCACCACCACAACAGAATTGAGTAGATGTGACAGAATAGATAATCCCCCGCAAAGTCAAAAATCCTGCCCAGCATGGTGGCACACACCTGTAATCCCAGCTACTCCACAGGCTGAGGCAAAGCATTACAAATTGAAGGCCAGCCTGGACATTTTAGCAAGATCCTATCTCAAAATAAAATATTGAGAAAAAGGCTGTGGATACAGCTTAGTGGTAGAGTGCCCCTGGACTCAATCGCCAGTGCGAAACAAAATAAAAGATCTTCGTGCCCTTAACAGAAAAAAGTTTGCTGACCTGATTTGAAACATTCAAGGAAGTGCCCTGGATGCAGCTCGGGCCTTTGGCTGAAGTCCAAGGCAGTAATGGGGGGAGTGTCTTGCCAGACTCCCTCTCCAAGCACTGGACACTATGAAGGGAAAAGCGCTCTTTCAGAGGAGCACTGGCAAGGCCTTCCTTTTGGGGGTTCCCAAGAAATGCTGGCTGAGTTAGCAGCCTTTCCTAGGCCAGGAAAGGAAGATATTGAGTAAGTCTTTTCCGCCATCTCCTTTGGCGGTTAGCTGGCACAGGTTCACTTTGATCAGAAACCAACCTTGCATTGAGACATTTCAGCTCAGTAACCTCTAGGCCTGAAAAATGGAATTATATAAGTACCTCAAAGAGGTGGCTCAGGCCAGGCCCTATGGCTTCCTCATTGTGGAAGAGGAACCAGCTGGGGTGCAAGTGAGCCAGGGCTCATGGGAGAGCCTTTGAGGCAGCTGTGGCTCATTTGACCCCATACCCGGGGGCTTGAAAAGCTGTGTGTGGGCTATGTTTGCCTGACACCCTAATCTCTGCCATTTCCGAGGCTGCCTAATTTCCGGGTGGATTTGAAGTAGTGTTGTTTTTCAGGTTCTCTGCTTGTACCCTTCAACCTCTCTGTCCAGGACCTCTTGTCTAGAAACAGTTAAGTGAACCCCCTTCTGCTTTTACTATAGCTCTGCATTTTGACAAACAGCTCCACACAGATTCTATTGTATTTATACTGTGAAGTCAAGGCATCCTCAGAGAGTGACAACCTCCATGTCCTGCTCTCTTTCAGTTTGACGTCTAATTATCTTTACAGAAGGCCACAGGCTTTCTTTCCATGCATCCCCTGCCCGAGGAGGTCAAGCTTGTGTCTGCTCCCTGGGACCCAGTTGACTACATGTGCTCCATGGACACCAGTAGCTGCTGCTCCTTCCTCATTCACCCCTTCACTGTCCTGCATCCTCCTGCCACACCGAGCCAAAAGTTATTGGGCCATGCTGGTCCAGTCTTCATCATCAGCCTCAATTCACTGTCCCCAAACCCACCATGCGTCTTGTTTTCCAAATTTCACAGCACTTGTTTAGAAAACCAACCGCACTTGGTGCTTAGTGTTTCTCTCTAAGGTTAGGGGACCTTTTGTAGTTCTGTAGAGTTCATATTCTAGAATTTGAAGATCAGAGTCCCGATTCGCTTATGAGCTGTGAGACCTTGGGCAGGTGGTTTCTCCTATTTTAGATTCTTTTCTTGACTGTGAAAATGCGATTGTAGTCTTTCATGACCCAGTTGTTAGGATGATAAAATGGGTAATATTTTTAAAGGACTGTAAGTTCTTAAAGGCCTGCACACCTATAGGTTAGTATTAAGTTTTTCTGCCCCCCTCACCACACCTTTCTCCTCAGTTTCATATGAAATGAGGGCTTCGGCAGTGACTAGGGAGATAATGGGCCAATGAGTGTAAATTTGACCCACCTGAAACCTCTGCTTAACTCCAATTCCTCTGGTGACTAGTTTGCCTAAAAATCAAACTAGTAATTATAAAATAAGGTGTTTTGTACCAGGTTTCCTAACAGTCACTTCCAATATAATGTCATATTTTAAAATCACTATGTCACAATTTGCAGCATTTTGTCAATGAGATAGTTTTGTATGCCTATGGGTGACTATTTCTATTTTATCTCCTATTGAACATTTTATGACTTTTAGGTGGTTTGTCTGAAGACACTTTCTTTAAAACTGTATATTTCAAGCAATAAACACTTGTCAAACCTATAGAATTCCCCCACAAGATTTATCGCTTGCACCCATTTTCATCACATCCTTCTCAGTGGGTTTTGCTCTGCATTGTCTATGCCTGCATGCACCCACTGGGTTTATTAAGGAAATTAGCATGTACCCAATGCTCCTTTCTGTTCTGTAAGATATTGACATTTTGACAACAAGCACGAAGAAGTGAGACAGATGGGACAGAATTGCATTGAACTCCTTGCATTTTATTTTTCAGGCTGCCTCATTCATCAAGCAACTCCACTTTGTGAAACAAAAGATGATACATACAAAGTCATTACCAAATGTATTTATTGCTGAAAACATGAGATCTTTTGAGAAAAGCGAACTGGCTAAAAAGTCCTGAAAGTGTTCAAAAGTAGATAAAATAGAAGACACCCACCAAAACTACAAAACAACTTTTAGTAGAAATCTTAACTTTAATTAGCATGTTCTTAAATAAATTGCTTTTTAAAAAAAATCCTTTCAATGATACTGCCAGAATGCTAGGACATTCAAACAAATGCCAAAAGACTTAGAAGTGGGCTGAATTTTATTTGAACAGGTTACTAAGCTTAAAGGTTCTCCTTGTAAGCCTGTGGTGAATCAGTTTGAGGCCAGCTGACCTAAAACTGATTTGGGGTGCAAGCACTCACCTCCCTGCACTGCAGTCTATGGGCACAGAGACATCATTGGCCCTCAGAGGAAAGGAACACCTCTCCTGAATGTGACCTCCAAGAGTAAGGGCAAATTGTCAGCTTTTAACTCTTTATTATTAAGACATATTTACATAGAACAATCTTTACAAACACAGTGAACACAATATGGGGAGGGGCAATTTCTTAATGAAAAGAATCTTAATATCTTTGTATAAATTAGTATAAGAATCATACACAACCACTTTAAATAAGACAACATCCTCGCCCCACCCCCTACCCACCTCTGCCCCTGTCTCCCATCTTTCCCAGTCATCATCCCTCTTCTGTCCCCTTCCCCATGGGGCTGGGCTACAGGTCATGGCAGGATGATGAGGGATGGGACACAGAAAGGAGGAGGAGAAGGAAGGTGGTCAGGTCCCTAGTGGGACTACCAGTGGCAAAGGAGACTTTTTGGACACTGGTCAGCCCCACTGCATGCCCAGATGGATTGGAGGCTATGCCCAGCCTGGCTTCCCAGGGTAGGCCTTGAGGTGGCAGCAGTAGCAGCAGTAGCATCAGCAGTAGCAGCAGCAGAGGGAAAGGAAACGTCTGAGGTGGAGGTGGGGCATAGGCAAACAGGGATTATTAAGGGACTTGGGGTGACCTGACTCCCCCTTGCCCTCATGAGTACGAGGCAAGCGTCGGGCTTCTGTTTTCCCTTTTCTCTGTCTTGGGAGGCCAGTGGAAAGAAAGGCTGCTCAGACAAAAGCCAAGAGGGCCCCCCTGCAGAAGAGGCTGTGGAAGACCCGTGTGAAAGACAGGGCCTCCTGCAAGGGGCGCTATCCAGCCTGCACATCTTCCTACCGGTCTTTACTTCCTTCTCCCCCTTCTTTTCTTCCCCCTTCTCTGCCCTCAGACCCCCCAGAAAGGCCACTAGGAAGGAATGTCCAGTCCACATAAAGTGGATGCTATTGAGTTGGTTATTTAAGGCTGCCTCTGGCTCCTGACGAGCAGTGTTGGGGTCTAAATATTAGTCCCAGGGCCTGAGCTGCCCTGTTAAAGTGCTCCAGGCCCAGGGGTAGTGCTGGTCACTCATGGAACCTTCCAACCTATGGAGAGCAGGGAAGGCCAGGGAGGTGGGAGTTGTTTTGTCTCCCCTCAATGGGGCAGTTTGCAAGCAGCTTGCTTCTCCTTGCACTTCCCAGCCACTCCCCCATAACCTCAGCAAAAGGCACTTTGTGTGTTTTGGGAAAATATCAAGAGGTCAGAGGGTATCACGAAGTAGGACTTGGGAGACCTGGTCCCCATTCTGGCTCTGCAGTGACCCTGAGCAAGTCATTCTCCTCTCCAGGCCTCTGTTGTCACAAGCTTTTTTGCATAAGGAGGCTGAGCTGTGTGATCTCCAAGGGTCTTTTCAGCTCTGGTAGTCTATGATTCCTGGTCAAAGCAACCCTCTTGCTCAACTTTCACACCTGGGAGGGTAAACAGTCACCCCAGGCCCAGCACCCTCACTTCCTGACTCAGAGCTTCAATTACCATAGCTGCTGATGTGCGGGGCCTGGGAAGGGGGCACAGTGTGACAAAGTACTTCCTGGGCTCCTCATTCACTTCTTCCTTAACTGGACCAGACATGGGGATGAGGAGGCCACAATGGTACTCTTCTCACTTCTCCAGTGCTTCAACCCCCTTCACCAGGGCACCCAATTTTGATGCCCCTACGCACCCTCTTTGAAGCCCTACACCCACCCCTCTAGTTAGAATCTCTCCTTGTGCATCTCTGATCCCTGTCTAGAGGCCAAGTGAGGGATCCACTGACAAAAAAACAAGGATTTGCAGGAGCCCATTGAGGAAGGGATTGTTTTCTACCCAGACCTCAGGGCAGATACAGCAGGGAGAGCCCAGTGGGGGTCCGTGGAAGCATTCATTGGGCTTGGTGGGGAGCAGGGAGTGTGGCGGGCTAGGACAGGCTGGGTCTCCAAAGTCAGTCCAGGCAAAAGCCAGGAAGATGGGCTTAACGGATCCTTATGAGAGAAACAGAATCATCAGAACAAAGGGCGGGACCACGCCGTTATAAGAAGCTGGTGGGTGAGGAGAGCCGGGACCATCAGCAGCTAGAACAGGTGCAAGACGAGAGCTGACTGGATGTGAGGGCTCCAGAGAAGCAGACCGATCTGCGGAGTGGAGACAACCACAGTGCGCTGGCACATGAGGGACCCTCCAGTCCTAATGAGACAAAAATGACAAGAGAGAAGTCAGGAATACATCCTAGGTTGAAGAAATTCCTCCAGGAAAGAAGAGAAAATAGCCTTCATCCTACCCCCTCTCCCACTAACCCTGAACCTGACTCTAAAGCCCGGGGCCCCGAGGTGGTGTCCCTCTGGGCCAGCTGCAATGGGAGCGGCTGCAGCTCTGGCCTCAGATGCAGGTGTGGGCGCTGCTTTCTCTGGGGCCACCTGTCTCCTTCCCCAGCGCTGGAGAACCACAGCCATAGTTTCCTCTTATCCTGGGCCTGGAAATTCTATGACTCTTTGCCTTTTTCCTCCTCGCCCTTCGGCCTGAAAAAGTTCCACACTGGACACTTGTGGGTACACCCTGGGCACCCCTCTCCAGGATTTCCAGACCTCTCTAATGGGCTAGCCTGTCCAACCCCAGACAGTAGGAGGGAGGGGAGCCAGCGCTGACCTGGGGAGTCAGGAGATCTACCCCAGGTGTCAAGCCCTTCTCAGAGCCTCAGTCTCCCCTCTGCGAAGCAAAGGCACTAGACAAGTGTTCTACAAGTTCCCTGGCAGGATTGCTTGCTGAATATGTCTGCCCAGTGATGAGTGGCAGGGTCATAAGCTTCTAGGGTGTCCCGCTCCTCTACACTTTAACACTGCCCAGGGGCTCTAATAGGTACCTGCTTCAGAAAGGCATGGGGCCCTTATGGGAGAGGCGGGGTCGCTGGCGGCGGAACTTCCTCCGGCCCCCCTGCCAGGGCGCTGGTCCATTCCTGGAAGCCCTTGGCTGTACCAGGTAGCTGACTTCCTCCAGTCCCTTCCCATCAGGAGGCTGCAGCAGGGGCACTGCAGGAAGAAAAAGACCTGTGAGCAGGGAAGGGTGATGGGAACAGCAGGAGGCCTGGGAGGGGCCATTTCTGCATGCGGGAGTACCCTTTGTAGCTTTTCTCTTTTACCCTGATGAAAACTGGGGCAATTATACACTGCCCTGGAGCAAGCAGAACCCCCTTCTTAGATCTCACTACTGAAGAAGCTGATTTGATGTCCTTTTGACAGTTAAAACATGTTTCTGACAGACACCCACAGGTTCTTTGGAACAGCATTGGGGGTGCTCTTTGGGCATCAAGGCTGTCCTTGAGGGGGATGCAGGAGGCAGTGACCCCCATGACCCATAACTGGTGCACTTCAAACATTTCACACAAACCCTACAATGAGTCCTTCTCTGTGGACCTATCACCCAGATTCCAGTTATCCAGATGGGATCGCATATGTTTCATTGTCCCTTTTCTTTTTTGTTGGCTGCAGTACTCTAAAGCAAATCCTGAACATCATGTCATTGTACTCCTATGCACTTCAACAGGCAGAGTGACCCACTTTTGACTACTGGAGATCTCATACGGCACCCTGGTATCCTATCAGTGGTTCTATATCTCTCAGGCTCGCTCCTGAGGCTTCCCTATGAGTGTGGCTGGAGTATCTAACTCAGCCTGCTTTATGCTTGGCTCTACTCAGCCTGTGACCAGATTTACTGGCTAAGAAATATTTCATGAATGAATGAATAAATAATATTTATGCGCCAGGAAAAGGGTGGGATGTTGCAATTTCCCATCATTCCCTGATTATGTCTCCCATCCTGTGTTTGACGTGAATTTCATTCCAACCCCAGGTGGCTTCTACTCTTTTGTCTGAGGCGTCTGGCTACATCTGTTCACATCTGGGTTAGAGTACAAATCTCCTGAGGCCAGCCTAAGCCCTGGCGATGAAATCCAAGCAGTGATGGGTATACTTGGTTATAATAAGGAAGAAGGCACTCTTGGCAAATCTCACAGAGCCTGCAGCTCAGCCAGAGAAGCCAAGCTGGCACCTAGCAGCAGGTAGTGTGGGGAGATGAGATGGTGCTGGAGGAAAGGCAGATGTGCAATGCCCAGTTTGGGGCTGGCCTGCAGAACTGTGGCATCTGAGACTAGGATGAGTACCAGTCTCTTCCCTCACACCCTCTGATCTGCCTTCAGCTATATCCCTGTCCCTAATTCATTGCTATCCATCCAGCAATCCCCTCTGCTAGGTTACAGTTTCCATACAGCCTCCCATCGGCTGCTCCTCTTTCCCCCTCCCCTGCCTCCAACGCCCCCTCGCTCTGATCCCTCCTTCGCTCTAGTGAGTTCCTCACTGCTTGCACACAATTTCCAGGCGTTTAGCCTCCTCTTGGGCCAAAAGTGGGCGAGGTATGTCCTTGGGGCCCACTTTGCCCAGGCTCTAGGATCTGCTGTTTTTCCTCCTCAAGCACACCCAGACTTGCACACTTCCTCTGCACACCCGTGTTCTCTAACCCTGTACTCTTTCCTTTTTCACCACAAAGAACCATCAGACCCATTAGGAGGCTGCGATTTACCAAATTCACTTAGTTAACTTAGCCATACTTCGGTGCTGATGGTCATGGTGGATTAATGTGTCAACTTAACCTCTAAACTTACAACTTCCAGAAGTTAAAACAAAAATAATCTTAGCACTTTGGAACACGATAGATGGCCAGGACTAAGGAGGTTACTTCCGTGTGATTGATCTAGAGTTCCCTTTGGGGTACCATCTGTGAAGGGCTTGGGCCTGGGGAAGAAGAGGGAAGGACCTTCAATAAGTTCCCAGCCCAGCTTCTTCACCTCGGGTCGTGAGTTCTAGTGTCCCCTCAGGGTTTACCCTGTGTCCTGAAGGTGGACTGGAATGCTGCTGCTGAGGGGACAGTACTAGAGATGTATTCAGGGTGCAAAATGATAGAGACTGTGCGAGCACGTGGCCAGGTAAAAGCAGAGGTCCCCAAGGGCCTTGAAAATGTAAATGAAGCCTTGGATCTCTTGTCCATGCCTTCAACTACTGGGGGAGGGATACAGTGGCAGCGCAGGCATGGGGCAAAGAGGCCCAGCATTAGGGAAAGGAGAGTGTCACCCCCATGTGCTTGCACCCAAGCCTGTTTCTGTGGCAGTCAGGAAGCGAGAGCTGGGGAAAGGGCCCTATGGGTAGGGAGGTCACGAGCCAGGATGGGGAGCAGGGATGGTGGCTCAGACTGTGACCAGGAAGATGTCTGGACTCTAGGCCTGCAAAGAGGAGCCACCCTGAGCTCACTGAGTACTAGCCAGGCCCTAGACAGTGGCCACCCCAAAACCCCTTGCCTCTGTACCCCACTGACTAGTGAGATCATTATCCTCATCGCAGGAAGTCTGCAGGCTTCTCCTGCAGGCTCTCTGCACCCATCACCCACCTGTTTCCTACTTTTGATGCTGAGTCTGGCTCAGTGTCAGATAAGCTGACACCTGAAACCCTGGCTTTGTCCTGTCCAAAGGGACGAATTAGAGCCTGTTGATTCTCATGGCAGAAGTCATTGTGGTACAAAAGAACTCCTCTTTAGAAATGGGGACCATCCCCAGTTCATTTTGTCATTTCCCCAACTCACTTGCTGCTTAAAGGGAGGCAGGAGTCAGTTGCTCAAAAAGCTCCAGCCTAGAGGGATTGGAGTCATTGCCCACTGAAGTGTCTTCAACAATGAAGCAATGGCATCCCCAGGCTGTAGCCCAGGGGAGACACACCCTATCCTGCTTCTCTTGCCTTCCATCCTGTTCTACAAACAGAGGCCCCAAACTACTTTGTCCTTGGCCCAGTTGTGCACACTCTCCCCAGACAGGATCATCAAAGTGGGATCCTGGAAAGGAGAGAACTAGATTCACTCTTCATGAACCTCGAACTCCAGCCCAGCCAATGCACAAAGAGGTACATCCGTGTGACTTTTCAGAACATCCCATCCTCACCAGGAATGGCACACCTGTTTCCCCTCTGGATCTGGCCTGTATTGTGATTGCTTGAAAGCCCACATTTGTGTTCTGGTGGAGACTCCACTGGCAATGCCCCCTCCACCATTCTGTGGCACTGCATGGGTCTCTAGGACAAGGTGCCTTTCCCTTGTCTGCTCAGCCTTCTGCCCCACTGGGCTTCTCCAGGCCCCTGTGCTATCTCTTGGTACCAGCTCTTTTTTTTTTTTTTTTTTTTTTGTCTTTTTCCTTTTTATCGGTACCAGGGATCGAACTCATGACTGCCTGCTTACAAGGCAGGCGCTTATGCTGCTGAGCTAAATCCCCAGCCCCTCTTGGTACCAGCTTTGCTATCTTGGATACATCAGGCTCTGGAAGCCTGGCCCTCACCTTGAGTTCCTTTAGTCCTTTGTTGCCGAAGGCCTGGCTCAGGTTATATGGGTGCTTAGCACTTAGAAAGGAGGATGTGGTGGAGATGCCCCCTGGTGGGAGGGGTATAGTAGCCTGTCCTCATACTGCCACTGGGATTGCATGCTTTGAGCAGGGGCTGGTAAGGAGGACCAGGAAAGGAGAAAGAGAAGGGAACACTTGGTGGGGCCCAGCAGCTCTCAGATTCAGAAGAGCAAAGTGTATCCCAGGTTAGGAGTGGTGGCCAGGGTGGAGAGGTCATTCCGTGTTAAGAAGAATATGAGGAGAGAAGAGGCAGCATGACTTTTAAGCCTGGAACTTTGGTGATCCTGTCTGAGGAGAGTGTGCACAACTGAGCCAAGGACAAAGTACTTTGGGGCCTATGTTTCTAGAATAGGATGGAAGGCAAGAGAAGCAGGATAGGGCATCTGTACCTGGACCCAAGGCGCCTTGGCTTTAGGAAAGGTCAGAGGGCAGAAACACAGCGGAGATCTTGGAAGTTTCCAGTAACAAGCTTAAACAAAAATGTGAGATGCCCCGATTCACGGCATGTGAATGTACCGAAATTGGGGTGTGCAGATGACCTAATGAGAAAGTGTGAATAAAAACAAGAAGTGACAGGGTCTGGGCCAGAAGCTCACAGAATTCTGGCAGCCCAGCCAATTTTGCTTCCCTTGAAGCTAGCTCTGTGCTTTACCATTACTTCCCCAACGGCTGGACCACTAGAGGGTTCACCCAGTGTCTGTTGGCCAAGACTCTCCTAGTGGCTTCTGAAGGAGCACCAGGTGTGCAGATCTGCAAGGCCCAGCTCCCTCTGGGGCAGCCTTCCTGCACCCGGCTTTTTATACCCTGAAGATGCCACCGTGGGCTATTTGCCTGTAGTGCTAATGGTGCAAGTGTCTTGTCTCGCTGACTAACTGGCTCCTGGGAAACAGGTCCCAGTGGTGTCTTCATTCATATCTTTTGCTCCCTTTCTACCACTGCATGCATAGAAGGAGTTTCTGAGGAGAAAGCCTGCTCCTTTCCCCCCACAGAGGTGGCTGGATCAGTGCTGGCTTCTTGAACAGGGGTTCACTGGACAGCTACCTAGGGGCAGGAGGTGCTCAAAGGCAGGAAGTGCTCCCAGTCAGGGGCAGTGCCTAAGAAGAAGAGCAGAGAAAGGAGAAGGCCTGCAGAGAGGCCAGCAGCGTTGGTACACCCCGCAGAGGCTCCCAGGCTGTGGACCATCTTGTTCTGCAGGGTTAGGAACCAAGTAGGGCCGTGTGCCTTTCCTCTAGGAAACTTGCTGCCCTGCCCTCTTCGTCCCTTGGCTTTCACCTCTTGTGACTCCAGTCCTGGCACTGACATTAGTCCACCTGGTCTTAGCCTTCTCCTTCTGTAGTGCCAAGCAGGCAGCAGTGACAGCCAGATCACAGGACAGCGGGAGCTGGCAGCTCCAGGAGACACTGACGCACTGGGCAGGGGCTGCTGGAGCATGGGTGGGAACCAGGCTTGCCAGGTGTGTGTGGGGGAGAGTGCTACAGGTCGGGGATAAAACAACTCCCCTTGCCAGAGCTGCATGGAGGTGTCAGATCAGGTGCCTGGCTTGCTGTTTTCTGCCTGAGACAGGGAGATGAAGGTGAAGTTTGCCTGTGCCTGGGGCAAAGTAGAGGCTGGAGCCAGGATGTGAACGAGCCAAGACCCTGGGGTGGGCTAGAGGCTCTGGGGAGGTCCTCGTGTGCAGAAGCAGAGGAGGAGGCCTGGAAGGACCTTGAGTCAGGGAGAAGACCAGCCTGGCCCGGCCGGGGGAGGCTTCCTCTACTGGCTTCCAGGCTGCAAGGAGCAACAGCTGGGATCCAGGCTGCCACTGCCCCCTCCCGCGCTCCTGCCTATGCAACAAGTGTCACGTCTGCATGTTGGCACATCATTCCCTGGACCTGCCAGCGGCCCCTAGCTTCCAGGAGCCTGCAGACCTTCAACGTGAAGGAGAGCTCGGCCCACGCAGCTCAGCTCAGTTCCCTCCATTGATCCAGGAGGGGACCAGGGCATGCTCCATGCCCCCCACCACGAGGGATGCAGAGTGTGGGGTACTGGGTTCATGCCTGTGGCCCGGAGCACCTCGGACTGCAAGGGGCACTCAGGAGGGGCAGGATGCCTGGCTGGTGATGGCAGAGGCCCTGTGGAGCCTCTTACAACCCTTCTCAGAGAAAGCGGTCCCCGTGGCCTGCCGCCCTTTAGCCCAAGGCTCCCTGTCAATCTGCTGCCTGCAGCTCGTGGCTGCTCCTGCGCTGCTCACGCCGAGCTCCCTAGGAGGCGGGGAGAGCGCCAGTGGGGCGGAGGGAACAGGGCGCACTGGCTGCCGCCCGGGGGAGCCGCAAAGAAGCACAGGCCAGCGGGAGGGCGAGCACTCACCTCCACACACCGCAGTCAGGGAGAGCCAGAGCAGCAGCAGCGCCTTCACGCAGAGCCTCAGATTCATGCTGCTCCTCGGACCGCCCGCCCGATGTGCCGGTGGGAGGGCGAGGAGGCCGGGCACCCCAGGCAAAGAAAGGCGCAAGCCGCGGTTGGCGCGTGCGGGTGCTAAGCAAGAGTGTGCGCACCCCAGCAGTGCAGCCGGCTACCAACTGCCCGCCTGCTCTCCGCCTTCGCTCTCCTGCAGCGTCACTCTGCTGCTGAGGGGCAGCGCAGCGAAGCTGGCCTCAGAGGCTCCAGAGGCTGTGGCGAGCTTTTCCAAGAGACTGGCTTTGCTGTGCCTCAGCTCCAACTGCGCGTGGCCCAAGCTGCCAGGGAGAATGCTACCCGCTCACTCCAAGAGCTGCATTTTGTAGCTTGTGGTTTGGCTGCAAGCCCACTTGGTCATGTGGTCATTGGGAGGTCCGGAGGGGGGGCAGGAAGAGGGAGAGGGTGCAACCCTCCAGCACCACGCCCCTCCCAGCACGCACAGTGTGGCCCCCGCCAGGACTCGAGAGGGAACCCCGAGGTGGCCCCATAACAAAGGCTGAGCAGCCGTTTGGACAACGGACAATCCGCAGCTGCTCCTCCTGGTACAATGCCCGCCTGGCCAGGGCCTGAAAGTTTGCGAAGTCCAGAAGGGTTTGAAACACAGGAAGCGTTTGGGAAGGTGGAGGGGCACGCTTAACTCTTTCTCACCTTGCTTCTTTAACTGTCAAGCCGTCAAGCTGTCAGGAAACCCGGGGCACTCAGGCTCTGGTTGAGCTGCCACCACTCATTCCATCATTTCTGACCCTGACCTGGTCCTTTGCAACTCCACATCCCTTTGCAACTCCACATCCTCAAAGGTTTGGTTAAGATTCCCCAACACAGTGGTCCTCCTCTGCATCCTCAACTGGAATCAGATGAGGGCTATTTGCTGGATTAACTGCCCAGCACCCTCACTTCCCCTGCGGTCTGGCAGGAGGCACTCTCTACCTGGAATGCCCCCAGGCGTGAGTTCTCCATTCTTACAGCAGCCTCTGAACTCTCATCTGATCCAGAAACCTTCTCAAGGCAACAATAATCCAGGAGGGGCTGCCCCTCAGTTCCTCCTCGCTGTTGGGGCATGTGACAGCTACTACAATGTCCCCTTTCTTGTTCTGAGGAACTGTCCCCATCTAGTTCCCTGTCATCACAAGAGGAGGACAGTTTACCCTGCTCCACACAGTTTAGGCTGAATTCATTCCACATTTACTTGGGATTCCCCTTAGTAAGTGGATTCCAAAGTCGTCTGCCTTTAGATTCTTGGTCCTGAAAGTCTAAGCTCCTAAGGAAAGGGTCGGCCTCTTGCACTGGACTGGAATTCCCCTAAGACAGGACCCTGTCTTCCCATTCTTCTGAATTTCTCCAAAGTTCCCAATATTGTGCTCTGCACATAGGTGGCACTCAACACATATTAAAAGACTAAATCAGAAAGTCTTTCCACCTTCCAGCAAGGCAGGCAGTTTGCTTGAAGTGCAAGTTCAGATTTACAAAAAAAGGTACATTGAATAGTATTTCTGTGTGCCGTAAAAGATGTGAGAAATCATGGTATATGGTTTTGAAATATTTTGGACGTGTTACAAAGTTCCAGTGTATGCATTATTTATTCTCAGCCTCCCTCCACCAGAACTGTCACCTCTACAGAAGAGGAATCTTTAGTGTTTTCATGGCTGTTCTTCCAGATCTACAACAGGACCTAGAATGTGATCCATGCTCAATATGTAATTTTGAATATATAACTGAACTTTTCAAACATACCCCTACTGCCTGAATCAAGGGAGTAAGAAGGGAATAAGACAGGATTCTTATTAATAATCTATGATCTCACTAGCCATACCAAGTTCACAAACAGAATATGAAACAAACATCTCTTCATCTGAGAGACTTAGGCTATGAGTAGTGGGCACGGATAGCATGAGATCATTCTTCCTTTGCTGTTCCCCTGGAAAGCATTACAATCAGAAGGAGAAAGGCTTGAACTCTAGGCACCACCCTTACCTGCTGTAGGTCCTTTTTGTTGTCACCTAAATTTGTTGGATTTTATGGGGATGCTAGTCTGTGCCCTACATACCTCAAGGTTGTTATGGAATCAAATGAATTAATGTACCAGAAGCCCTTGCAGAGTCGCTTTCTGGAAACTTGGTGGCCCCATCCTTGACAGAGTAAGCCCATGCTTACCAACTAAGTGTCCCTCCTAACTAAGTTAATATGGGCCTCTGTGTTCAACTGCTCCTCTATAGGATGTGCATAGGTCATTGCTAAATGGTTAGAACACTGCTTTCCAATACAGAAGCTTCTGATAATGCTTTAAACCAAAAAAATTCAGATCCTTGGGCAAACTGGCCAGATGAGTTGCTCAGCAGTTGCATGTGACTTCAGTTGTTCCAGAAAGTTCTATTGGGTGGCTCTGTGTTTCATTTTTCCTTTTCTACAATCGTTTTTTTTTTTTTTTTTTTTTTTTCTTACCTTAACTAGTCTACAAAATCACATGGTGAGTTGGGGCAAGGGGTGCAAAAGCAAACCAATACAAAATAAAGCAAAACAGCAACAAGTTGAGGGTATTCATGCAAAGCAAGATTTAAAGAGCTAGACATTCAGGAGAAACAGTTCAAAATCTAGCCCCTCTCTCCAATTAACCAAATCATATCTGTTTTTCTGCTTAGAGATCCAACCTCTCATCTTTTTTCTTGCTTTTTTTTTAGGCCACTCTTGCGCATAGTGATTTTGTCCTCTTGATGACAGCTACATCTGTCCCTGCATGCCACGCTCTGTGTGCCTGCTGTTCCGCAAAGAGAGTTGCCCACCACTGTATCCATTCTGGAATCAATCAAGGCCCACAAAGCTAGAAAATGACTGTGACTGCTCATTCGCAATCCTTGGTCGGCTCCCATATATCTCAGTGTCCTATTGAAACAACCAGTTCTTCTATCTGTCTCTGCCTGCCGATTTTAGAGACACACATCACAGTGCCTGGCATATAGTTGGCACTCCATAGCTGTTGGTCAAATAAATAAATAACTGCTAGCAGAATTCTGTACTGTCCTTTTTTTCAGGAAGATGACCCTAGTAAATGAGTATCTGCCAAATAGATGCATTAAAGTGTATCACTGGAGGTGGGGAAGAGGTCCATGAAACCATTCACACTCTGAGGCAGCAAGCTGCTCTAAAATCATTGTTGATCTTGGGTTTGGGCTTATGGTCAGGGGCAGTCATCGTGAGGGAAGATCCTGGGGGTAGGGGTAAGGCTTTGAAGATTGTGGAAGACAGAAATGAAATAGCTGAACTATGTGAAACTAGCCTATGACTTGTCCTTTGCATCAGCACTATGCTCAAGCTATTCAGTCCCTCATGGTGCCCCGTGCTGTCACCACCAGCTACTGTTTCTCAGTTCGCCTGCCTACCTTTCCATACCGCGGGCTTATGTGAGCAGTGTGATACAGTAAGATAACTCAGATGATCCAACTCATTTCAGATCCTGTCTTTCAACCCCATTCATTAGCACAACACTCAAGTTAAGCCTTCTTCAGGCTTAGTTTCCTCCTCTGCTAACAAAAAAATGAATTAATGTTACCTTTCTAATTGTGTGCTATGGTTTGAATGTATATATTCCTCTGAAATTCATATGCTGGAACTAAACTTCAAGGTGTTGGTATCAAGAGAAGAAGCTCTTATAAGAAGAGGTTGGAGGAAGCAACCAAGTGTCATTTTTGTTCATCTGTCCCTTCTGCCATGTGAGGACACAGTATTTATCCTCTTCTGAGGAAGCAACATTCAAGGCACCATCTGAAAGAAAGAAGGCTAGAAAAATCTGACCAGACACAAAACTGCCAGCCCTTGATCTTGAACACAGCTCCCAGAACTGTGAGACATACATCTTTTACTCTTTATAAGTTACTCAATCTCAGATATTTTGTTATAGCAGCAGAAACAGACTGACATTATGGTTGGGTAATTAAATGAAATAATGATGTAAAATACTTAGCACAGTCCCTTTCCATAGTAGTTGCTTATTCTCCTTGGCCTAATCTGCCCCTTTCTTCACTTCTCAGTCTGGTCTCTAGGCTCCTGGAACTAATCAGAAAGGAAGGGCTCTGTCTTTGCCCTGTCCCATCCACATCTGTCTTGTTAGCAGTCATTGAAACTGTTCATTGTCTTATTCTCCAAAAGCACCAATCTCTTTTGGGGCTAATCTGATGAATGTGCTTGATTTTGGGATTTAATGGTGACAGTGGTTTGAGATTGTACTTCACAGGTATGACATTCATTCTAGTGGGACCTTTGAGAGATGATGCCCTACCTCAAAATGATATCAAATTCTACCTTTTCAGATAAGCAGACACTTTGGAGACTGATTTGGCATTTTTTAAATTTTAACGAGAATAAAAGCAAGGAAAATAAAACAGAATAGTCAATCCAAACAACCCAGTGTAAGTGACACAGGACTTTAAAACAATAGGAAATCAACAGGGGTTACCATAGTGCCTCCTGCTGTCTTCAAAATAGCTGCAGATAACTTGAGACATTGTAAAAACCAAACAAAACAGAACAGAATAACACCAATAAAAATAAAACAATGAATGCAATACAGGACTTCAAAACAAGATAAGAGTAATTCCAAAATGGCTACCATAATATATCTTGTCATCCTCAAAATAGCTGCTCAAACCATCAGATACAATAAAATCAAACAAAACAAAACAGAATAAAACCCAACCCAACAAGACAATGAAAATGATACAGGACTTCAAAACAAGACAATAGGGAATCAACAGTGGCCACCACACTCAGAAGGAGATCTTCCATAGATGCTACACTGCGTATTGCCATCCTCTAAATAGATGATCAGGGACTGGAGATTTATCTCAGCGGCATAAGTGCCTTCCTGGCAAAAGCAAGGTTGTGAGTTTGATCACCAGGACCAAAAAAAAAAAAAAAAAAAAAAAAAAAAATCCTGAATACATATCAGACCACCGGCTTTAGACTTGCAAAGTCAGTGAAACACTAAACATTACAAGCAATAAATTGTATACCTCCTCAATACCCGTCATGGCAGCCTGTGTTTCTCCAGATCAGCTGGTAGCTTACAGCAGGGTGGGGGGGGCTCTTTTTTTTTCCCAGCCTGCTTACTGGAAGGTGCTGGCGTCTGGCTCTCCTGCCGCGGCCCATGCATCGTATCAGTTTGCAGGGAGGGCTTGCTTCTTGGTGACTTCTTGTTCTCTTCCTCTGCAGTCTACAAATGGTGCTGACTCACGGAAAAAGACTGGCCCCTGGCTGTCCCCCCAGCAACCCACACGTGGTGCCAATTTGAAGGAAGGCCTTGCTTCATGGCAG